TTCCTGCTGCACATGACAGCCAGGCCCATCCAGGGAGTGACGACATCTCATTCCCTGATGGAGCTCCAGTCACAAATCAGGGTGTGGAGACCAGCAACCGTCCTGGTGGCCCCCACTTCCAAGTCCTGGCAGTGGCAGGTAGCACTGGCCCCTCCTTCAGCACAGCACCCAACATGAAGACGGACTTCATCTAGCACTCTGCACTGGGATGCCCCCAGTCATGTTGGTCTTTGCCCTCGATTCCAAGTCAGTCGAGATCCGACAATCCAGTGATGGGTGGAGAGACTGAGAAGAAACAGGTTACCAGGTGCCCAGTGAGGAGCTGCACCCACGCTGGAGACTGCAGTGGTCATCAGAAAATAGTTTAATTCTGTACAGACGATCATCGGGCTGATTACAAAGGGAGAGGTGCACGCGCAGCCTCAGCTCAGAGAAGGGACGGCAGAGCGACACTCTCGGTGACAGCTGCTAAACACCAAAATAATCACAGACTGTGACAATTGTGGGAGGAGCATAAATCAACACTTTTCCTTTGACAAGAAAAAGAAAAACAAAACAACAAAAATCAGAGACTTTGGAATGCTTTGTCTTCCTGTGCCATGGAATGACATTTGTCCTGGATTGACAGAGGGACAGCGGGGAGCAGGTGATGATCTGGGCACTTGGAGCCTGCATCACATGCCCACGCCTGTCAGGTTCAGATGGCCTCGTCAGGTCAGCAGCCTAATGGCTCCATGAGCCACGTGTGCAGCCAAGACCATTGTGGGCCTCAGTAGAGCGGCCGAGAGCCCTGGTTCTCAAACTCAGACCACGCGTCGTTCAGCTCCATGAAGATCATCTTGGCGTACTGCTCGTATGGCTGCCCCGTGGCCTGTGGACAACAGGTGGCATAAGGGCTAGTGCCAACCATCTGCAGGAAACAGGGCAGGAAGCCCTGGGGACCTCGGCAGAATGGGGCAGGGGAGGGGGACAGAAGCCTCACCTTATCGGGATGCACAACCAGCACAGCACGGCGGTACTGTTTCTTCACCTGGCCGGGGGTGACCAGGTCAGCCATGCCCACAGGTGTCCAGCGGCTCTCCCCATCCCACAGCACTGTGTGCAGTGTGGACAACAATGCCCGGATGTTCCTCTCCTTGCCTTCAATCCAGTCCAGGAGCTGCCGGAGACACCAGTGTGCTTTGAGCTATAGGAGCCTGGCAGGGAGGCCAAGGGCAGCAGGTACTTCCTCAAACTCTGGGCACAATGGGGACAGGGTGCTTCCCACACTAGAGAGGGGAAACCAAGGCCCAGAACAAAGAAGTTCCTAAGATGCTGCTCCTAACAGAGATGGGACAGTGCAGTTTGAGCCACAGCAGCTGGGCTTCACATCTGGACTCCTGGCCACAAAGTTTCTGAGGAGGCTCTTTGGAGGACGTGTGGCCTGAGTACTTCCCTATACACCTCCACTCCACTCCCAGGGGAGCATGGCATGTGTGTAGGGTGCTCAACTTGCCAGCTGCTCCTTAGAGGCCCTTGGCTCATAGACACGATCCCAACACACCCCGACCACTCAAGACTGCTATCATTCCAACCTTCCTAGACTCTGTACTGAGCCCACCCAGGACAAAACTAGGCGAGAAGCCTTCAAGATACAGCATCTAGAAGCCAGGAGGTGTGATGGCCAGAATGAGAGGCCCTAGTCTCAGGCCTCCGGCCACTTGGTGGTTGATATCTCACAGACACCTGGTCCTGGGACTCCTGCCCCTCAGGCCCTTGGACAGGCCCTTGTTCAGAAAGGCAAACTCTGCTCTGCCTACCCCATATCCAGGGCACAGGACACAGGGCAGAGAGGATGAGGAGGATCCCAAGGCCACAGCCACTCTGCCTCACAGAGCTGACCATCAATCACCCTTCAGAGGATGACAACCCCACCACCTCATCATTCTGCAGTGAGTGTCCCCAGGGTCAGGATGTCATCACCCCACAGTGTCTGCTCTGGGTCAGGTGGAAACCCCCTCACATATAAGAGTTCTCGTTCCACTAGGAGTGCTGGTTCTGACTGGCATATGAACCTGTACCCCACACCACTCCTTGGAGCGAAGGTCAAATGTTTCCCTCACCAACCACCAGCATCCCATGGAGCAGGACCCAGGGGGCGCATCTACTCAGCCATTTCCACAAATGCTTCCAAAGAGGCAGATACAGTTGTCCCATGGGTGCCCACCATTATGCGGAGTCCTCTGGGCACACGGGGAGGCATTACTTGAAAGACTAGCTCTGCCCTGTGACCCTGCCTCAAGCCACTGCTGACCTCGAGGACTTGCCAGGTCTATTCCCCATGACAGGTCCCTGCCCACAGATGCCTAGCTTCATTCAGAATGCCCCGCACGACCACACCTTTAACTTGAGTGGGTCTGTGTCTTTAGCAAGATCCTGCTTCCTCATTTCTGCGATGGTCTTCGGCCCCTTCTTGTCAGATTTGGAGGAAAAACCTTGATTGGACAATAGATCTTCAAAATCGTTCTCTGAGACCTTTGGCTTCTGAGCTGTAAAAGAAAAGGAAGTTTCTACAGACATAAAGGCCCAAAGGTATTTGTGCCCACGTTTGCCTGCTCCCCTGGGGGACCAAGTCACTGTACCGATGCCTTGACAGAAAAGAAACATTATTATTTTTTATTTATTTATTTATTTATTTATTTATTTATTTATTTATTTTTGCTACAGGGTGTGTATACTTGCCAGGGAGAGAGATGGGTAGAGAAAAAGAGAAATCACCCCCTGGGGGGATGGCCCTGTCGCAATTCCTTTTCCTCCATTCTCTTCTTGGGACTTTGGGCATGCATGCACATGCGCCCAGGGTGAGCTTCAAGTCACTGAGTCCAGGACTTGAACTGTGGTCAGCCATGTGGGATTCTAGTGCCTTAACCACTAAACCACTTGCTGGCCTCAAGAAATAGTTAAAAACAGATTGAAAAACTGACATGGGGACAAGAGGGACTTGGATGAGTAATGTGGAGAAGACACCACAGGACATGTATCTAAAACCATTTCCTGCCATCCAACAAGTCTCCTATTTTGGTGAAAAAAAAAAAAAAAAAGACACAACTGATTTAACCACATATCTCCTGGGACAAGGCTCCAAGTTGGAGAAAACCAAAACAGTATTTCACCTTTAACCACTTCAGGGCAAGCTGTTCAAACCCTACCCAGAGGGAGAGAAAGGTGGAGGACTTACCAAAACTAGGTGCACGAACCCCTCGTTCCTCTCGCCCCCCAATCACACTGAAGTTTGCAGCATAGTTAGGCCTTGGCTGTGCACAGGCTTTGGGGGGTGGCTTGGCTTGGGAGGGCCATGAGGTACCCTGGGTCTGTGGCCGACTTGTCTGCCAGGAGCTACCACTCTTAGGAGGGAGGACCGTTTTGGGAATGAAGCCCCCAGAAGGGAATCCAGCAGACGAGCCTGAGGAGAGAGATCACAAGACACTAGGTGAAATGTTTACCCACCAAGAGGCTACTCCAAACAGGGGGGGTGCTACTGTTTCTAGTACTTAAAACTCTGCACGTCGAAAATACGTGCCAGTGAAAAATTTACAACTCGCACCAGCCCAGTCGCTGATTCTACCCAACAGGTAGCTAGTGGCATAGCCAAATGCTGCAATGGCTGAGAACATCTAAAGGTCAGATCCCAAAACAGGGCAGCTGTCCAAGTGCCACTCCCCACTCCCACGGTCTGGCCAGCTTGGCTCAGCCCAGCTTGCCCAAGGCTGACCAGGGGCGCATTCACAGGGACTGGAGGTCATCATTGCAGTGTCTGCAAACAGCCCTTAAAATATAGGGCTGATTCTGGTTTTGTTTTTGTGATTCTTTAACTTTTATTCTGAAATAATTATAATCACAGAAAGCTGCAAAACTAGTAATGAGAGAGCCCGAGTACCTTCACCCATGCACCTGTGGGTGACATTTCTCTCAACCCTAGTAAGCCATAGAGACTGGGAAGCCACACCAGCACCACCTACAGGGTCTACTCAGATACAGTCAGCTGGGTACATAAGTGCATATGTGAATAAAATTGTAGACCTATGCGATCTCACCACGTACAGATTTCCATAAGCACCAGAACAATCAAAACACCAAACTTCTATAATTCTGTCATTTCAAGAAAGTCCTAGAAATGTTCCCAAAAGTAGGTGACCTTTGCTATCGGCTCTTTTCACTCTCCCTAAGTGTCCATCCAAGCCGCTGAGTGTACCTGCACCCTGCTCCTTTTTATTGCTAAGGGTGTTTCATCATGTGGAGGGATCACCTGTCTGCTCAACTGTCCTCACGCTGAGCGACATCTGGGCTGATTTCAGTGCCTGGCTACTACAAAGCTTTTTTGAATGCTTGTTTGGGGATTTCTGTGCACATATAAGTTTTTATTTCTCTGAGATAAATGTCCAGGGTCATATCGTGGTTGTACATTCAGTTTCGTAAGAAACAGACAAACTACTCTCCAGAGTAGCTGTACCATTTTACATTTCCGTCAGGAATGTGAGGAAAACCCAGTCTCTCCAAATCACCACCAGCATCCGCGAGTGCTGCTGCTTTCAGCTGAGGCATGCTGCTGGCGTGAAGTCTCGTTTCTGCTTGCATTTTCTTAATGGCTAGTGATGCTGGAGGTTTCTTCATGTTTAAATGCCATTCAAATATTATCTTTCCGAGAATGTCACTTCATGTCTCTTGCCCATTTCCTAACAGGAATTTTTTTTTGTTATTTTTGTTTGTCTAACTATATTTAAATATTACAGATATGAATTATCAGTAGGCAGTTTGAAAGTATCTTCTTCCAATCTGTAGATCAGGCTTTCAGAGTTTTTTTTTTTCTTGAGAGGTTTTTTTCACTATAGGGCACGTGCGCTCGCCAGACAGACAGAGAGAGACATAGAGACAGAAAGCGAGAAATCACCCCCCAGAGGGGATGGTCACGCCGCAATCCCT